TGCCCCGAAAACTTCAATGAGGCCAAGTTCATTGGCTTCACCATGTACACCACCTGCATCATCTGGCTGGAATTCCTGCCCATCTTCTACGTCACCTCCAGTGACTACCGGGTGAGCTACCTGCCATAGAGGTGGAGGGAGGTGGGACACCAGACCCTCTGTTTCCTGGTATCTTATTTACTAGGTATCTTATTTACTTGCTACTGGTAGCTCTGGGCTCCAAGAGGTTAAATGGCCACTCAGGGGACAGCAGCTTGTGTGGATCTCAAGGGAAGGTGGGAGGGCTGAATAGGGCCTAGGGAAATGCCCAGGGAGATGGGGAACTCGAATTAGAGAGAGCTGAGATTTCAGGACGTGCATGTCATCCTCTATCCTGGGAGGAGATGGGGGCAGAATATGTTCAGATGAACAGGGTTCTGCCCTGCTCCACTGAGGGTTCTTCAAGCAGACAAATAGTATTATAATGATTACAAGACTGATCATCAGTTATGCTTTTGCAAAAAACAGCTACAAGGACTAACTCAGTGGACCAACCTTTGTTTCTTCATTATCTCTACCTGGATTCTGGCCTTTTATTTTCTCTTTCTACTAATTCTAATTCTGCTTCTGCTTCTCATTTCTTCCCCAGTTAGAACTTTATTTACCTAAACTACCTGTTGTCACCTTCTCAGAGCCACTAAGCAGCAGTTTGAGGTTGACAATTGAAGAATTAGGATTAGAAAAAAGAAACACGAATGAACTTTTTATGTTTCATTATCAGGGTTTTGTAATGCAGGTAAAAAGACCTTTTTCAGAGTTAAGATTTTGATACAAAAAATAAGCTATTTTTTATTTATAACTTTGACTAGTAGAATTTTTGTATAAAAAACATTTTTTGGATGTCTTTGTTAGCTTTGAGTGGACACTGGAAAAGCCTCTTCTAACAGTTTATTTCTATGTCTTTCTGGATACGCTTTTCAGTATTCTTATTCCACTAGACAGTGATAAGAGGGAAGCATTGGTGGTTCAGTGGTAGAATTCTCGCCTCCCACGCGGGAGACCGGGTTCAATTCCCGCCCAATGCAGTTGGGCTTTCGAGCTTCACTTCCCTTATGGCTGCCTTAACCCTTCTGCCCTGCAAAATTATACCGCATACTCTAATAGTGCATTTAGAGGCTTCATCACCGAAAGGTAAACTGACCAAGGTCGTGCCAAAAGACATTCCGGGGACTAACCTGGGACCCCTGCAGTCGTTGGACTCCACAAACCATTTAGCAAAGTGGCAAATACGAAGTATTTCTGGCGAGTCACTGCAGTTTTGATATTGGTACCTGTTACCTTTATCTTTTCTGGGCGGATCCCTGCAAACCCAAGAAACCATCAGGTTCCTGATTCGCGGGCTGGACCTTGGGCTTCCCGCTGAGCCACAATGCTGAGGATCAAGAAATGATGCTCAGGGAAGGAGAGAAGCTGTGGGTGGGGCAGTCACCTCAGAGGTCCAAGAGCTCAGCGGCCCAAAGAAAGAAGTGTGTGGGGAAGAATCTACGTGGAGCTGCGGGGAGCTGCGGAGACTGGTACTAGTGCAGGGGACCCTGGGGGCTGTACCCCAGACACCGAGAACCGAACTTGCTAACATCGTCAGCTACCGGGGCCTCCAAGTGTTTTGTGGGCCCATGGTGTTCCGGGGGGTTCCGGATCTGTGTCTGGAAATATGTGTCAACAGGTTTTGGCCTGAAATTTGGCCTGGCATGGGGGCTTGGGAGGCTGAGGCGGAGGATGGCTTGAGGTCAAGAGTTCAAGACCAGCCTGGCTAACACGGTGAAACCACATTTCTACTAAAAATACAAAAACTAGCCGAGTGTAGTAGTGTGCACTGGTTATTCCAGCTACTTGAGGCTGAAGCAGGAGAATCGCTTGAACCCAGCAGGTGGAGGTTGCAGTGAGCCAAGATGGGGCCACTGCACCCAGCCTGGGCAACAGAGTGAGCCTCTGTCTCAAAAAAATAGAAAAGATGTTTGGCCCGAAAATTACATTTATATTTGTTTTTTAATTTATTATTATTATTTTTTTAAAGAGACAGGGTCTCACTGTTGCCCGGCTGCATTGCAGTGACCGCTCCTAGCTCACTGCTGTCTGGAACTCCTGGGCTCCAGTGATCCTCCCACCTCAGCCTTTGGAGTAGCTGAGATTACAGCTAAACCACCATGCTGGTCCGAGAAATATATTTGTAATACAGGAAAGCAAAGAACAACCTGGGAACTGTTTATCTTGTTGTGTTGTGAGGATGTTACTGTGTTAGAGACACAACAAATGACAGCAGGTGATGAATTTCCTTCCAAAGAGTTTTGAAGATTTTTTTTCCCCATTTAACAATTGCTTAAAATCTAGGACGAGCCACATTTAGGGAATTTTTTTTGTCTTTCTGTTTCAAAAATGACCTTCAATTCATTCATATCAAAAGTTTTTCGGAGTGTGACTGCCTCTCTACACGTTGCGTATAGACAATGTGATAGTAGGTTGGAACTAACTGGCTTGTTTTCTTTTTGTATTTTAAACTCTTTGGGGATCTCTGACTTTCGTGAAGAAATTCTGAGCTGCAATACATAGTTGCTTTTGTTTTTGTTTTAGAGATGGGGTTGCTGCTTTCTCACTCAGGCTGGAGAGCAGTGGTGTGATCACGGCTCACTGCAGCTGGCATTACAGGTGTGAGCCATGGAGCCTGGCCCATAATGTCTTCTTTTATTTAGCTCTAAATAATGATCAGATGTTAGGGAATAAAAACCTAGAAGTCCCTGATTCATGAAAAGGAAATTGAGGATTACTTATCCCATGAAGCAAACACTTCCAGACTCTAGAGTCCCAAAAATATCGTATGTTTTTGCTGAAAGTGTTTTGACTCTATTCCTTATCTTCTCATGAGTCAGGAAG